TCCGTCCAGTGCATCATGTAAACGTCTTACACAGCCTACTCCGTTTATCGTTCCGCCAGTTTCCTCTGTGTCCAGTCATCCAGGGATTAATATAGCATTTGCTGATTCACGTCCGATGCAAGTTATCTGGCTTCCTTGATACTTGGTGCACCCACAATAGGCTAACCTTATTCTACCGAAGCTATAATTTGCAAGGCTGGGCTTCCGCCTTCAAAGCCGTCGCTGTCTTCTACCGTTACGCCAATGGGCTTTGCTCCTCAGAGCTCTCCTCCATTATGTCGCCGCGTCTGACAGACCCGCCTGACATCGGCCTCCCACCCTAAGCATGCCACTTCGTACATCCAGAACTGGCCGATACGACCGCTCCTCTATCTATTGGGTATCGAGATTGTGGAACAATCTGCAAGAGAAGACTTTTCTCAGTTCTACTAACCTTATGCAGTTCAAAATTGAGATTAACAAAGGGAGAATAATAAGTGAAATTTTCTTTAGAATGACAAGAAGGAGGTGCGGTTTAGGTGGACTCAAGTAAACAAAGATCATGTAAAAACTCACGTACAAGGGAAACGGGTATTGGGGACCTTGATAAGCATACTAATTGTAGAATAATGTTGATTTATTTATGAAACGTATCGACCGAAACAGGATAAAGATTGCTGAAGAATGCAGTTATGCCTGTCTGAACATTTTAAGGTCGTACAAGGTGGATACGTTACCTATCAGGGGTGGGTCTTTTATATCCATCAAAATGAAATACTGCAATTAATTCACTTATCAAGGATTATATGTTATACAGCCTAAAAATTATTTAGTGTACTTGAATTTCACTCATTCTTGTTGAAGGCACGAAAAGCGCCCTCCACACGACATAACTCATATAATTATTGCACATTTTTTATTTCAATCGATAGCTATGAGCTGTTGACGTATTTCAAAGTCACAGAATATGCTGAAAGTCGCAAAAGAGCTTCCAAACTGTCTCATGCATCAGCACTGTTAGGTAAACGGTACTTTAATGGTTAATGCTGATCGAACGGTGGTCACTTGGTGGTATTAAATACTTCACAGCAGCAAATCATAATCAGCATAGAAGAAATATCTGACAGTGACGACTGTTTCTCAACTAATACCGACACACCTGCAGCTTCCCTTCATGCATTCGTTTGCTTGGCAGACAATAATAAATCTTAATTGAATGATGGGTTTCAAAATTTTGTTTCAAAAAGATCTAGTTTATTCTGGTACTTAGAATACTCAGAAGATTAGCAAAATGTATGTAAGGATATGTTTGATATTGTGTACATTGTTCATATTACTGTTTTTGCAACCTATTGTTTGGAGTTTGGCAATGTATCTCTCAAAAGAGTAATACATCACCGTAATCTTACCTTTAGCATCTCAGTCAAATTTATTAAAACATTCCCATTTGCGTACGATAAACAAAAGAAGACAGCTATCGTGAAGCGTGATATCTGATTCTCATACATAACAAGATGTACTGTTAACTAGATATGTTTGCCATGCAAAGCATGTAGGGGAACGTGTCCGTTTTTTTATTGTTTATATTTTTCTAATCGCTTCTGATCGACACGTAAAAACGCTTTATATGAAAAGTCAATAAACAGTGATTCATGCTATACAGAATGAGTCAAAATAGTTTACTAGTATATTTGCTTAGCTGAAGCTGATAATTTTTTTCGAATACACTATACAGTACCTTGATGGTTTTAATGCGTTTGATATGGCAATTGGGAAAAATGTTTGATAACTGATTATAATAGCTCTTGATACGTACTTATATTCTATATATACTATAAAATGTAATCTCACGAAATCACATAACCTCATAAGTTACACTCCAAACATTATGCTCTTATAATGCCCACCTCGTATGTGATTATCTCGTCACCGCGTCATTTACTACATGCTATTATACGTCGCTGGGATCCAAAACCGAAAATGCAATATTCACAACCCAGTGGTACACGGCAAGTGCGACGGATAGGTACGCGATCTGTCTGCTGAAAATTTTTTCTAGGTTTTAAGGGCAAATGTACATGGAAATCTCTACCAGTCATCCAGTCGCGGCTCGAGACAGCGACCACCTAGCAGTTAGACCACAGTCATCGTAGAAAAAGTAATCTAACGCAGACGTAATCAGAGACCAGAAGTGCATATTTCTCTTATCATTCTAAGTTTTGATGGCAAATGTACGGGGCAATCTACGATCTGAAATTTGTCTGATAGGTGCGTCGAATTACTAGGATCGGAAGTCTATTAATATACTAACCTGGAAAAACGCGATACAATTTCGACACTCACCCCCAACTTTTTTCAGTACTGATCAAGATCCTCTGAAACGACAGAAAACGGCGTTTGAGCCATATTTTTTTTTTCGTTTCCATCATTTTCCTCCACCGCCTCTGGAAAGATTAGCAAAAACTTCGACGCTTTTTTTCCTCCTAGGCATCGTAGTAACCTTGCGTAAAAATGTCATCCAAATCCGAGTAGTGCTTTCCAAATAAAGACGGATCAATGATTTGCGAACAGACCGACCGACAGACCAACGAAAATGAGTAGAAGGCTTTGCAAATAAAATGGAGATAAATACATTAATCTTTATATTCAATACGTAAATCTAAGGCCGGTCCTGAGTGTACTGCAATGCCGCACAGTGGGGCTAAATCCCAAAAAGCTGGCCAAAATTCAGAAAGTATCGTAAATGATCTCAAATTCTCTTCTCGGAGGTTTTTGGGGTCGCTGAATATGAATCTGTTATCAGAATTACGATTTTCAAAATAGCGAACCCAAAATGGCGGACATAGTTTAACCAATCAGTCAAATAATCCAGTAAAAATACCTAATTGTATTTGTTTATGGTTTTTGCAATCGCTGATTACGAATTGGTTATCAAAATGTTAATTTTCAAAATAGCAGGCGCGATAAATGGAGGATTCCGCAAAAAAATTTAATTTTTTAGTATTTTTAAATAGAAAACGACGTCTGAATGTCGACTGATGTCAAGGCGACCCTAGAGCAAGTATATACCTGCCCTGCTGGAATTTTATTCTAGGACTATGCGTAAACAAGATCTAAACGTGTATAGACGAATATATACAACTCAAAAATTTGATTTTTGGCCTGCTTTTTAGGATTCTGCCCCACTGTGCGCCGGAGAGAAACCGCAGCTCATCTGAATATCCTACCGTAATCTCCAATAATTATGCATTCACGACACCTGCTCGGTGACGTACCTTATTCAAATTTTTTCAGAAAAAAAAAAGTAGCGGCGGCGAGGCATTACATAAACGTGGTAGGAGTGTTGATTACACAACGCACCTCAGCAGAGCGCAGCGTATGTGAAAGCTGCTACTGGTACTGCTGCCTGGTCGTTGGTTGCCCGTGTTGCATTCTTTTGGTTCCGCTCTTCACAATTTCTAGGACGGCGCAGATATGGAGAAATCAATATTTTCGGATTCTCTAAATCACGATGTTGAGGTCTCGCGCCAAGGACTTACACTGCGTTATTTCAAACAAAGGGGTGGGGTGGCTACTCTCTTTGTTTTACCTAAATCCTCATAGACTGTGTACAGCTCCTTGAAATGGACCCAAAAATCATTCCCTTGAATATTGAGGCAATTAGGAAACACATTGTATATCCCCATGGTTTTAAGTACTTAATTCGTACAATAATTCCAAATATAAACAGTACTATAATTACAGAAGAATTATTTGAGGCCTCATTTTGATCCTGTTACCATTACGTCGGTGCTGGAGAAAATGTGTCATGTCCCACTATGAATTATATAACTTTTTGTATGGTCGTTTAGAAAAAAATATTTGATACAAAAGTTTTGGGATCTAATATAGTTTTATTTGCAATACCTTTTTTTATATAAAGTGTATCTCAGAAAAATACTATTCAATAAAGCTGTATTGTTTAGTCAAAATGATATTTGCTTTTTTGCTGATTTCAAATATATATTTGGTTGGTTTATCATACTTATTTTCATTAGCTTGGCATGCATGTTTAAATGACCCATAATTTAAGTTTTTGACTAAAGTAATGAAAATAAGCATAATGAACTACATACAACTTTATTCGTTGGCACTTTTCATAGACGTTGCCTAAAAAACCTTTGTGTATAACTTTTTTCTAAAAGGTTACGCAAAAGAGTTAAGAGGGGGGTCATAGACGGACCTTTCCAGGCGCTTGATATGAAATCCAATCATGTAATCATTTTCTCTTCAATTTAATGTTGCTTGCAAAATCGCAATCTTGAATAGTTGATGCATCTTCACAGATTATGAAATACCATGCAGATTCGATATTTTGTAACGGAGGCTATAAATATTGATGCACAAACCCAAAAATACTAATCGTAACTCATTATTTCTATAGCGATAGATTGTCATTAAAAAGGATGATCTTTCAAGCATTGCATCATAGAAAGACTGCCGGTATTGATATAAGTTTATAGCAGGTGACAGGTTTTTCTAAATCAACATACCCGTTTTCTTCATTAAGTAAAACATCAACCTTTGGCGTTGACAGCCAATTAAACACAGTTTTCTTTGTTTTGACCTGTTATGGTAATGAAAATCGAAAATCAACAAATGTATCTTAAATGAACTCTAGTTTTATCACCTCATCGAAAGTTAAAGCTCAATCCACGAAATTTTTACACTTTTTGAAAATTTTATGCGACCCTTACAGAGGAACTAGTAGCACTTTTGAAAGCATAAGCATTAAATATTTGGGTATTGATTGCAGTTTCTGGCAGAGCGATGAATAAAGACGACTGATTCATTAGTATCGTACTAACGTTTGTTTAACGGTTTAATGTTCAATGCGTAACCATCACCTAATAAATATTTATTGTTTCATAACTTACCTATCTTTTATGGACATCTTCGATTAGGTACGTGGTTTTTCTTCTTTTTATTGTGGTTTGTTGATGTTTCTATTTTAAAATATGTGGACAAATAAAAGATTTTGCTTTGGTAGGTTTATCTAAATTTTATTCAATTTTTTACAAAAACATATAATATCCAATATCATGTAAACCTAATAGGAGTGTATATTACAATAATGTCGTGAGGTTCACATTCTTAGCAACGCGAAGTACCGTTTGGTTTATCATAAAAATCAAAAAAACACATCGACGAAATTCTGATTTCTGTAGCCTGCATAGCCAATCTCATAAAAATAACGCTACAGGAATTTAGAAAATATTAGAAAAATACTTAAAAAAATATTAAACGGAACTTGATAACGTAGAACAACAATAATTCTCTTCCACCATGGTGTGTAAAGCATAACAAAACTAAATCGTACTCACATTTGAGAATTTGGTTTGTAGTCATAGATTTTCATCGATGTATTAAAGATTTTGTCACAACTACGGCCTTGCCAACAGTCCTTGTTACAAAAATAATAATCAACAATTAAAGAAGATCACTTAAGTTACAGTCTCTGCGCAAATAAATACAAAAATAATTGTTAAACGTAAGATCACTAGTAACGACACTATATTAGAGATGCTGTCACGGAGCAGACACTGTTTCTGTGGAACTGGTACGAACTGACTAATTTGACAGAATAATGAATTGTGCAAGATCAGGTTTTGTCATTATTTATTGCCATTCAATTGTTTGAAGCTATTCTGAAATAAAAGCGTCAGATTGACCATCAAACAACCTTGAAAATTTAAACTGAGAAACTTTCAAGGTTGTATCCAAGAGGCAAGGTTTGCCATCATTTGGAATAACATGAAGAAATGTTTTTACACGTGACGAAATCGAACTGACCTTGAAAACGTCTTGACGGTTAAATCAAGGTTCGTAGGCAAATACTACTCAGCTTGTGGATTTTTTCCATGACAATTCAAGTGTTATAATTTATTGTTTGATCACTGTTTTTTCAAATGCGCTTAAGAGGTCAAACTCAAAACAAAATTTCAAGTTCATTTCACATCCATGCTATATTTGGAAAAGGGAGGTAAACTCGAAATGGCCTTGAAAGTCGTGATCAAGGTTAACTATTAATATAGGCCTCCTACAATTTCTGAGCACGTGTCAAATATAGTATGCGACTATTCAGGAGAGAGGTACTGCTTTTGCTCGATCTCACCTCCTGCTTAGAATAAACCCCACCTGACCACTTCGATCAACTCATACCTGTTCCACAGCATCCCTTTTTCAAACAGTCCTGCCCCGCACCTCCGCTGCAATCGCGCAATTCACTAGAAGATGCCATCTCCCGTCGGATCGCTCAACCAAGGATAGTTGTTGGGGCAACGTACGCACGTCTGTAGGTTGATGGTCTCTCCGGGGACCTCAGGCGAGGTCAACTTGCACGAGTGAGGTACCCAACAGGCTTGGACGCCTTCCACGACACACTTTTCCCTCCATGGCTCGAAGTTCTTGACTTCGGTGACGGTACGTGGGTTCTGGATCCACTGGATCACCTGCGTCATGGTGACGAAGTAGACGTCGTTGTGGTTGGAGAGGATCTCATCGATCCAGTAGAGGAAAGCGTCCAGGAACTCGGGGTTGTTCTTCAGCCAGGCGGCGTGGAAGTACAAGCCTGGAAGGAACGGGCACGGTTATTATCCAGACTGACGATAAGGCACAACTATACAGGGTGACTTCGAAGTTGAGTCATTTATTTTAACAGTGAGTAGATCTGATCAAAATAAATGTTTTTTCCTTTACCATTTTTCTGGTAAAATTAAAGTAACAAAGTTATAGCCCTTTGGAAGTTTGAGTACCGCCCTGTCTCAATAATAATATTATGTGCTCGTGTTTGGCAACAACGGATATAATCCGCCTTATCGGTTCATCGCATCGGAAACAAAAAAGCGAAAGAATTTGGAACGATGTTTTTACAATTATTTTATTCAGTTGTATACAGTCAGTGTCAGTCGGTAACGCGTGAGTGAATAGTGGTATCTGTTGCGTGGCTCAAACGAAATCAAAAATGGCACATGTTTACGAAAATGCTGAACTTGTGGACATGATTCTTATTTACGCGGCATCACGGATTTATGCGGATCGGTTTCCCAATCGAGTGCAACCAACCCCTCGTGCCTTTGTTAATGTAGTACAAAGGGCTCGTGAATCACTTAAGACCTCACAGGGGAGGGCATGCCGGTGCTCCAAGACCGCACGATCAAATACAGGTCCGCACTGAAATACTTGTCGGGAGGTTACTTTATAAAACAAGGTAACATTTTTTTTTAATTTTTTTTTTATTTTTACACACATATTTTGGTTTATCTTCCTTCTACAATCATTATCTGAAAATTAATGACTCAACTTCAAAGTCACCCTGTATAAGGTGCTTCAAATATTAGATTATCACCAATGGGATCTCGGTAAAAAATATGTAATTGGTTAAATGAGAGGATTTAGGTAACTGAGAAGATACTACTAAAAAAGTTGCTCACACCAAAGTATTTTCAGACAAAAAACCTAATTTTCTCGAAACAGTTTTTATGTTTTCGGACCTTGTTGGAAATTAATTGCATAATAATATTGGCAAATCTTTTCTATAGAGTGGCATAGTTATAATTTCAACATGACGTTTCGTCTCTAGTCTTCAATCATCAACTCTATTGTTTCCCATGACGCCTTTTTTGATTCTTGCACATGTGAATAGAATTTTTTATTACGATTCCAAGAATATCTAGTATACATTGAAATTGCCAAACCTTACTTATTTCAAAAAACGAATGTGCTTATAGTGGCCCTTGCTTCAGTTTCTGAGAAGCATGTTTAAGGCTTTTCCGATTATTTTCCCATCGACTATTATAAGCGTTATTTTAGTATAGAGCTTCTATACAGGACATTAATGTTATTGATGTATGCCTATGCATTACATATGACAGATATGAAATGTGTTTAGTAGGCAGAGTCATCGTCGAGGCTTTTACTTACTCCGTGTTGATATCAGTTTCTAAATAATAAACTGCCGTCAATCATTTCATTACTACTTTTAAATAATGTGAAGAATAGTATTATCTTGATCTTTATTCGATGAGGTATAAGACCAACTATATAGAAAGGTTACTTTTTTAGGCATGTGTAGTTTTTTATCAATCCAGAATCCAGGTTAAGATGTGGACAGTATTGAATCATCAAAATCGGAAATAGGATTTGTTGCCCAATGCCCAGTTCATAAAAACTGAAGGAATAACGACTGATGATATTGTGAAACAAATGACTATCCGATCATTTCGAGGCTTACTTACAAAATTCTATTTTTGGTGGGAATCGAATTTGAAACACGCTAATAGATAAAACGTGCTTAGAGTGGAGTGTATAGTGGAATTGAGCTTTGACAGTCATCTTTTCTCGTGGATCTTTTGTTTTTGTTTGCCATAGTTTTTTAGGAAAATCAATACATTACCATTCATTTAAAGAAAAGACTAACACTTCAAATTTTGCCGGGAAACAGACCTAAAGTTATAGCGACGTCACTCCTGTTATCTGTCATAGACTTTTATAGTCCAGGAGTCATGGAATATTATAAGCTGGACAAGAAAAAAAAAGGTGGAAATTTGAGTTTTCTAATGCTATCGGTGCTTAAGCTATTAAACGTCGCGTTAGAGCAATCACCTGTCATCTGCCAGATATCACAGTTATCATGATGGTTGATCATGAACTTCCGTCCGAGTAATTTTCAATTCCTGTTTATAGATTAAGATCATTGCTAGATAAAATAAAACTTTGCAGCAACAATTTCACGATTTTTTAAATTTTCAGTTCAAGTTCTACGGAATTTCTTGACTACTATTCATCACTCACGAATTGGTAGATGAGATAAGATCGAACCACTGCTCCTTCTTAAGATGATGACCACTATGATTAACTAATAAAATGAGTAAAGCTTGTTTTTCACTCACCTAATGGCGCCCTGTTTTCTTCGTAATGCCTGTCGAAGTTGTGATTCAGGAAGTTGTAGAACTGATCTCCTGTCAATATATTTGAACACGAGTCCACCATGGCACATCCAGGAAGATATTCATCGCTATTCGGATCTTCTCTTCTATCCAGTTCATTTAAGACCATCTCCCAAACTGCATGAGATCTTGTTGGGCACTTTTGCAAATTACCGTGACACCTGTTGACAAACATAAGTAGAGAATACAGAAAGTAGAGAATATTTGAACCAAAAGTTCAACAATCAGTTTGGGTCGCACATTCCTTTTTTCAACAATCTATCTGCTAAAATTTTGATTTGATTGTTTCATGCTATGTATAGGTATGTAATGTTATTCATTTTTGCAAAAAAAAAAATATTTTTAAGGAATCGTAGCTCGTTAACGAATAATAGTGCAGCTCCGAAATTGTTTGACAATATTCCACATTTATAGTAGTAGTATACGTGTTTACTGTTTGAAATGAAATATCCAGCTGTGGAGCTGAGCTATTATTTGTTAACGAGTGACGATTGTCAAACAATTCACAAAAACGCATTTCCTGATCAAAATATTGTTTATCATTAATTTCTATCTACACCATGAAACAATCAGACGGAATACTCCTATAAACAGATGGTGAAAAGGGACGTGCGACACTAAGGTTCTCTGGAGGATATTTCCGTTATATCTACCTATTGCTCTTTATACATAACCACTGATTAAAAGAAAAAACGCCGAGACACGTCAAAAGATTTGTCAAGTGGGACAACAATTTGAACAAATCAAGATAAATAAATATTTTTCTAATTTTCTTGGAAACGAATCGACCGATTTCAAAAAATCAAACGTCAAAATAAAGAACTTCGAAAGACCTTTCAAACAAGCTATTACTCGATACCCCTTGTCATTTAAAATCTATAACGGGATGACCCTGTGGGAGCAAAGGATGACGAGGGGTGAAGTAGTTTTTGGTTAAAAAGTTTTCCCCCTTGAAATGAACGTATACGACTCTTTTGTTTTGTTTTAGAACACATGCAAAAGCAGTAACTCCAACTCAAAGTATGGTATCTGGAAACTGCAAACACGTTAAGTCTGAGCATAATGACGCACTGAAATCTGCCTTTGTGCAGAAGTCACTTCAGTTATTATCGAGACTTCACTTGTTCAAACAGTTACCTGTGCGGCATTCTGAAGTACATGGTGTAAGGCCACAGCGGTGGGTTGTTCAAAGGCGCAGTGATTGTAGAATCGTACAGGAAGGCTTCTTCCTCCATCATGGTGAACTGGTTGTTGCCTCCTACTCTCAGGTAGGGTGCTCGAACTCCCACTACGCTGTTATCGGTGATGTTGGCGTACTTCTCGGTGATGATCCTCATACCACCCATCTCTTTGACCCAGTCGTTCACGCTGGCGTTTGACCAGAAGTTTTCGTCATCGTTGTGGCTGGAACAAAGAAATGGAGTCAAGTAGGTTGACTCGACAATTCATAAACGCTTGTCTCTAATAATCAAGAAGCTTTCAAAAATTATTGCAAATTCCAAATAAGCTGAACGATGAAACTAAAAGAACTTGTATTTTTAAAATTGTCTACAAATAACAAAAATGTTTAGATTATTTATCTACAACTTGTTCACTATCGCAATGACACAGAAATAAGTCAACAGATCAACTAACCGTATCATCGCTGTAGCTTATTTTTCCTAACTAAAGGAAAATACATACTGCGCAAGCCGATCTTCAATACATCTGCTACGTGTTCTTATAAATCTTTAAATTTATTTTCTGGTAATACACCAATTTAGCACAAACTGTCTCTTATAACGAAGATCAACAAGAGTTCAACTCCAGTCGCAAGCCGATGGTCAGAAAGTTGTCACAATGACAGTGTCAATGCATAGTTGCAGAGCACTCATACCATACGACCATACGTTCAAGGCAGTGGGATAAAACTGTATAACAAATGTCTGCGAGCTTACACAAACAAACGTCCAGTCTCAAAGGTAGATTACTTGTTTTATGAGGAAGATAAAGATATGGAAGTCATACTACCAGTTATAAGAAGTAAACAGATCGACTAACGATAACATGTGCATAGCTTAACCTCACTAAGGGAAATTTCACAATGCTCGCACTGCTCGATTCGTACTGTAGCTGCTACTCGCTCTTGCACACACACATGAAGTGTTCCACACTCACTTTCTGAAAATTGCTCTAATACAGAATATCCACATTGTCGTTGTATCTAGCATCAGGCATTATCATGTTTTATATTGAAGACCAGCATAGATAAACATGAATCCCACGCACATGATGAGCAAGCATAAATGTGAAAGACTTGTTTATTGACGAGAAAATTTTCATGGCGGTAACACAAAACTGAAAAACGTACGTCTTTGAGTTTAAATAACAAGTGTCTGGGTATAGAGGCTGATTGCATATGTATATTGGAGACAGATAGATATATGAAAGTAATTCCTCTAGTTCTACGGTGAAAAACCGTGAAAAGACCTATATGTGATATTAGGTTTCTTTCCTGACTGATCGTTAAAGTCTCCAAAACTACATTGACACACAAGTTCAGATTTTTGTTCAAAGTAGTTTGAAAAGGCTCTTAAAAATTGATCCACTAAAACGTCATTTATATAACAGTTAAATAAGAGATGCGGAGATCATTTTTATCAGACAAAACTGTGACAATAATCATTTTTGTTGCTATTTTAAAGGAAAGCTAAAATCACGATTTTTCTTCTATATTTCGGTAATTTCTGTCTGAAAAAGATAAAACCAGGTTTTCGTGGCCGGAAATATCGTTTGAATATACGAGTATTATCATCATGTTCGCAGACAGAAAACGTTGCATATAGTACTTAGGGCCACAAACTAGTCCCTTGGTCGGCGAGCATTGCGGCATCAAAAATAATAATAATGTCGCCAAAATGGAAAATGATGTGGAATTTTAAAACGAAAGTAAATATTTTATTGGAAATAGACAATTTTGATGTCTAGAGGAGGAAAACCGTATGTATCTCTGGCAAGTATATTAAATCGCAAAAATATTTTTGTGTACCCATTCATGATAGTGTCAGTAAATAATACGTCAATGTAACTTTCCAAAATTCATTGTTTAAAATACTTTTGTTATGAGTCGATCCTCTACAGTCCCTTGCCATATTATTAGACTCATGCTGCAAATCTACTTTTAGTTTATATTTCTTTTTCTTTTTATGAACTTTTTACAAATAGCGCGAATTGTTGGAGTTTCTCAAAGTTCTGTAAAACGAATTAAACAAAAAATATACCTCGGTGAAAATCTGAGAGCCAAACGTAAAGGTGCGTGCGGTCTACGGAGAATCACGACAGAGAGAAGTGACCGAAAAATTCGCAATATTTGTGTTGAAAATCGAAAACTGCCGATAAAAATTCTTACAAAAAAAAGTTCTTGAAGCCGGCATTGAAGTTTCGCAAAGAACAGTGCAGCGGAGGTTAGCAGAAGAGGGTCTTATTGAACGTAGACCAACACGCAAACCAAGACTTGCACCTGCTATGATATCAAAGCGATACCAATGGGCTCGAAAATACAAGGATTTCACGACTGATAACTGGAAGAACGTAAATAAATGCTATATAACTATATTCAAGTCGTTCTTGTACTGTAGATATTGTTTAATCTAAATTCTATGACGTTTTTCAGGTATGTTTTTCGGACCAGTCGATTTTCCAAGTATTGGTCGACAAATCATAGTTTGTACGGCGAAGGACATATGAGAAATATAAGCCAAAATGCATTGTGCCGACCATTAGACATCCTGCTTCGGTAATGGTATGGTCAGTTATCAGTTATAAGGGACAAGGGGCCTTATACGTTGTCGATGGTACAAGGAATGCCGAAAAATATCAGGAAGTTTTGGAAACCCAGCTGCTCCCTCAAGTGAAAAAATGGTTCAACAAACGAGAAAAGCCAATTTTTATGCATGATGGTGCGCCTTGCCATCGTGCACAAAAAATTACAAAATTTTTAGCTGAAAAAAAAAGTAGATATTCTCGACTGGCCAGGAAATTCGCCTGACATGAACCCCATCGAGAACATCTGGGAGTTTTTGAAATCTGAGGTTACGATGAAAGCCCCTACAACCAAGCAAGAGTTGATCAATATACTTAATGACACTTGGAAACATAACCCAGAGCTCAAAATAAAAATTCAAAACTGTATAAGCAGTATGCCACGTCGCGTTGAAGCTGTGTTGGCTGCGAAAAGTGGTCATACAAAATACTGATTTTTGCAAAAGAATGTATTTTCATGTGAAAGGATTCCATTTTCGTGTAAATTTCTAATTTTCTATGTGACATTTGTTGTATTTATAATAAATTTTGATGTTTCATCATGGATAAGCTTTGTAAATGTCTACTGGTGTGTTATAAGCCAGAAAAACTTCATTTTTAAGCATGAGTCCAATAATATGGCAAGGGACTGTACTTATATTTTAAGATCTTACAAATAAGTGTTAAAGACATATTTTGTTCATTTTTGAAGGACTATAAATGGAAAAGATACTAGTTTTTGTAGATTTCCTCAGCCACTGTACAGTTTTGACACAGTGACGTTAGTTAGCCCAGATTCAGCCACTGTGAAGAGATCTTTTAACAATGAAGTAGACAAGTGATAATTTTGCTGCGGAGGAGTAACACCGAACGTATCTCTGGCAGGTATATTAAAACGCAAAAATATTTTTTCTGAAAGTGTCCATTCATGATAGTGTAAATAATACATCGATGTAACTTTCCAAAAGTCCATTGCATGGAATACTTTTTCCATGACTCGAGCATTTACTTATATTTCAAGGTCTTACAAATAAGTATGAAAGACACTTGTTCATTTTTGAGGAACTCTAAATGGAAAAGTTAGTAGTTCTTGAGGAGTTCCTCAACCATTGCACAGTTTTGACACAGTGACGTGTCAGATTCAGCCACTGTAAAGAGATGTTTTAAAAATAGTACATGCCCAGCACATCTTATAAAAGACACTTACGATATGGAGTGAACTGCAATCTCGTGTCCCTTCCTGTGCATCTCCTGAACAGCAGAGTAGTTGGTATACTTGTGACTAACAAAGTACGTGGCTTTGATATCACATCCGTTGGGGTTTTTCCTCTTGCCGTTGAAGATCTCCTTGTACAGACCGATGTTGTTATTGTTGATGGCATCGTCAAAGGTGATGGTGATCATCTGGGGTACCTCCTTGGGTGGCAGATCTCCGGGTACTTGGGTTCCGTCCTCAGAGCAGAAACAGTCTGGCAGAACACAGACAGCTGGATCACATGGCGGAGCTGAGTTTGGATCGCTGTCGATGTCTGCAAAGAAAGAGAATACGGTAATTATATTGATTCAAGGTGATAATTTGAATACATATACAAGGTGTTCTTAAAGAACATAGACTGCAGTTCCAGAAAAATTAACAAATTTTCATTCCATATAATATTAAATCAGGTGATGTCTGCAATAAACCATTTAGTGAAAAGATACGACAAGATCATCTAGCTACCACGCACCGTGTAGGTAAACCGATCTGTTTGTTTGTAAATCGAATTTTAAAGAAATGAAAATCTTGTGGATTGTTGGTGAATAGCACAATTTATTGTACAAGTTTCACTTACAGTGAAAAATGTACATCAGACTGTACTATTTGGTGTTTATTTAGGGTGACCTCCTGCTGCAAGATGCTGCTTATACTTCGCGAGTGTATTCAGATCGTTTTCCTGTATGTTTCCATCCTGCGCAATGGCTTCCTTCATTTCGTACAAAAGCCGCTCGTGATGGGTACATGTTGAAATTTGCGAAAGAAGCTAACAAACCTTTGTTTTCGAATAGCGAGCAGCGACAACTTCGGCAGTGGTTTATAAGCATGTGATGCTACTCGAAATTTCCTGTCCTCGATAAAATTTACGATGCCAAAACTGCATCGAATCGCACTCAAGGAGCTTTTATATGCATGTCCTCAGAGACGTTGTGTCGCTGTTTTTGTACCATATGAACTTTTTTCATATACTGACCAAGAGATGTCGCTGCAAGTGCCTTACTAAAATTTGCATCAAAACCTCGATAAACCGTTGATTACTGAGAGAACTTCGTATGGAACGGTGAATATTTGGTTTTTGATAAAACGTGTACGTAATAATTGCTATTGAATATATTACTTCAAACCAAATACCTCACCTCTGAACAAAAATAGAAAGATTCACGACCATTTAATATAGTTGCTCATAATGGCAGATGTTTTGCCGAAAAACTATTTCTATTCACTTTCTGAGGCATTTGAGGTGTACATTTGCGAATAAACGATTTTTAAGCTTCCATTGTCTATAATTCATCAATGCAGATGGTTTGACATCCGCACAAATAGTAATCAGTTTGTGTGCAATCACAAAGTCTTGGAGGCCAACATTATTGAAGCATATGTGGAAATATGCGCTCATGGGATTTACGCTGAGTGACACGTACCATCTTGCTGAAATCACAATCAATTCACGTTGATTCCATTCTATCGGCAAACGGAATGGTCACTAACCATGCATCCACAGTAAATTAGTCGTATTGCCTTCCACCTATAGATTCTTATCGAGATATGTCAGATCAATGGTAAAATAGTTAACTGCATGATTGTGATACTACTTATATAGTGAAATCAATATGTTTGCCTAATCAATCTGAAGAATTTTTACTAAGAAAACATTTTATCGTTAATCCATGCTCCGACAACATCCTTCAAACGGAATATTGCGGACAATGAACTTCTTCAAGCTATTTGCTAATTCTTCTTGAATTTTTCCAACTGAAGAATGTTAACATTCCTATGGTAATGCCAAACCAGCCTTCTGGTAAGTTTGTTTTAAACACTAAATCGGTTGTGGTAGACGTGGATGTGTTATACCATAAACGCGATCAAATAGACGAAAGTTGTTTTGCTTCCAGGTAATAATGAAGTAATCCACAACGAAAGTAAAAGTTGCAGTTACGTCTACTCTTCTCATACCATAGGCGTCGAAAATCATTATTTTTACTAGTACCATAGCCTTTCAAGATTCTTGAAACGATATTGGTAACATAATGTTGTTATAGGGTAGTGATTTTAGGCAATAACCTTTTCACGAGTTGTTGATTCTTATCCCAGGACTTCTAACCGTGGGTTTGTTCAGTAAACTTTTACTTTTATTATTCTTCATAGTGACACGTTACGGTTTTGTTACCGATAAAATAAAGTATGTATACAAACTTCAACCATCGAATCCTTGGTCAATTTGAAGATGAAATGTCCATATGAACATGGGTCCGCAGCGGCTTTGTTTTCAAGCTAGAGCATATTATCACTAAAAGAAATGATGATATTGTTCCAAAAAATTATAAAAGAACGTATTTTATTTTAATTAAGTTTGCCCGGTGGTGAATATCACATGATTTACAGTTATTTTCAGACCCTCCATGTACGTAGATATGGATAATGTTATCTAGTATTTTTAGAAAAAAAATAGCATGACATTTATTTTTAATATTACTCATGTCTGACTATACAAAATACTACGGGTATTTTTAGGAGAGTTCGTCAGTCAATGAGTAACAGACTGGACAACTTTGAACATTTATTGGAAAACAAACTATTCGATGTTTTCTATTGTTGTCATTCTATTTGAATGTTACTGTTCAAAACTATTGACCTTCTAAAAAAAAAAATTTCAAAAAATACAGGATAATACTATTTTCGTCCACGTTCATATTGAGCCTCAGCAACTTGTAAAACATGCAAAATTTAGCATAGGTTATACCAACTGTTGAATAAATATATACTCGTATTTCTTTAGTGACAGTACTCTAGCTCAAAAAGAAAGCCGTTACCGACCCATGTTCATATGAATATTTGGTCTTCAAATTGACCAAGGATTCGATGGTTAAAGTTTGTCTACATATTTTATTAACACCCTGTATACGTGGAGCGTCACAAAACACGATAATTGAAATTGTAGAATATTATTTCCGCCGGAAATATAAAGACAAATTAGAGACTTTAGACTTTATCCTGTGTTACGATATTTATAACGATTTCTGTCTGCAATAATATTGCTTGAATGGCACATCTTTTTATCATTATTCCTGAAAATCACCAACAATATTACGAAAGGTTCGTAGATAATTATAGATACAAGGCGTTATGTAAATTCAATAATGAGCTTTAGTTTAAAACTTGGAATTGTATGCATAATTTTGAACGCGCATTGTAGCACTTTTGAGAAAACCGCTATTAAGCAATAATACTCGTAATAATAATGTTGGAATTAAGGTAGACATGAATATTTATGACACATTTTTGTGACTTTTTTCTTCTTGTGACATTAACGAATTAGCATTAATATTTTATCTGAAGGAGAAATATTTACCCAGAACATTGACTTGTGTGAACGCTTTTGATTCAACGCAAAATTTTGCCTAAATATGCCTAAATTTAGTTGAGGAGGCGTTGAAATTTCTCATTCAATGCAATACTGTCTTAAGTCTTATTGACATACACGTTTAACTCCAAATAGCTAAACGAATTCAAACCAGGTTTCTACCTACCATTTTCTTTGTCTTCAAAATCTCATTCTGGATTCAGGATAAAAGTGCATACAAGTTATTTTTTTGACGCATCTGTCATTAAATTCGCATTTTTGGTGTTATTTTTTGGATGTGCGAGACTTTGCAGGTAATTGTGGTGTTAAAAATAATTTGCAAAAACAAGCGTAATGAACGTAGATCTTTTCACCGGTGAGCATTATTATTATGTATATACACTTTGGTAGGCGATGGAAGTCAAGTAAGCAAAAGCTAACTAAGTAATTTTGGTGACAAAAAATGATATGTAAACATATAGGCTGACTCTATTCAGATTTTTTGAAATAACCAGATACAAAATCTTTTGGTGTGAAATTATATGATATAACCAATGACCGAAACGAGAAAGTACACATCAGGAAAAACTTCATGCCGTAATTGTTTTATGGGCTGTAATGTCAAGTGGCATCGCCGCACCCACATCAGGATTATCCAACTTAGGCAGATAGAAGTCCACAGGCACACAAGGAGGAAGTCCAACGCTACATCAACGAAATTCAGTTACACTTATGGAAAACGATAATGTAAAAGTTCGACGGAAGACTGCTGCCACCGAAGCTGAGGAGGCCGTTTGCCTTATGTGCTATTTCATACATAATCCAATTATAAATCAATAAAGAAATAACGAAGAACGTTATGTTTCCTATTTAATTTAAATTCAACGTGAATTTTGTGATACCATAATATAGATTATTCCTAGGGATTTAACATCTTTTATTTCAGTGTCAATGAAAACGCAGTATGTACGTTCAGAACTTACATACTATACCTACACCACCCATTCCACACTTACACGCTTTATTGCACATAAGTGATTGCTGTAGTTACAACAGCATGATTTTAATTGTAAAATAAGGAACTAGGAATGCATTTTATGAATTGATAATTAATTTGTGTGTCTGCTCATTAGCACTTGCTTATATATTCTTGATGGCCGACAACTATATTTAGCTAAAATCTACAGCTAGGTTCTAAGAAATGCGATGATGTAGGCATGAGATTAACATTATTAACAAATCATTTATACGATAAAATCTTGAGTCGTGACAGCATGATTAGGTGAGAATAGACTTTAGGTAGTTATTTGCGTTATTTGTAATCATTTATTGCTGCGTTACGAATAGGATAACTACAGGGATACTGTTAAGAATAAGATAGATACCAAGATGATAAATGGCGTCTAGTAGGTTGACTTTGCACTTTCCACGCAACACTATAATCAGTTCATAAGAAATTAAATGGATCAAGTCAACCAATCAGGCCCCTACAATTTGTCCAACTCCATAGTTAGCTTCTTCCCTGTCCTAGGTATCGGCAATCTGTCAACGGTGCTTAAGCTCACCCGTCAACAGTGCCATAAGCGCCAGCCATGGTACTCGAGATCGAGAACTTCGGCAATCCAGTCAGACGCACACATAGTCTGTCATCATCGTCCCGACCGATCGCATGTCGTGTCTGTAAACCTTTCTCTGAGCTTTAAGAGCAAATGTACGGAGAAATCTATGATGTGTGAAAGATAGGTTCAAAATTACCAAGGCTGGAATCTTATAAATTTACTGCCACCAAAAAATGAGATATACCCTCCCCCAACACATGCAACTCCCAACCCCAATTTTTAACCCCTACAAAAATATTTCTGGAAATAATCAGGTGCCTCTGAGATAAAGTTTGAGCGATTTCCGCCGCCGCCACTGGACCGATTTTCAAAAAA